CTTCCTCCTGGATTGAGTTGTCGTAGAAGCCTCTTGGTGCTGCGCGACTTTTGGAAGCGCAATGCTGTGGTCCAAAGGGGCCCTGTCAGGTCGTCTTGGCGGCCTCTTCGGGGTCTCTCGGGACCGTTCGAGAGTTTCTTCTGGACCTCTTGTAACGTTTGCCCATCTACAAACTAGCCAGACCAGATTCCTGGGGGAGGGTTCGGGGAGGGCCAAGGATTTCACTGGCCGAGCAATTCCCAAAGAGGCCGTCGCACTCCAGTACCCTCAGATCCGTCAGAGCCTGCTGCTTTTCGCCGAGTCCAGCTGTGAGATGCGATGAGCCGAATAGTACCTGGTATGCCAGGAGGGAACATCAAACCAGACACAGTTAATCGTTAACCCCCAGGATCATGTGGGAAACAATGGGAAGTGGGGGGAAGTCAGGCACCAAGAAGAGATGGAAACACAGACCTGGGGAATCCCGGGATCTGTGTCTATTGCGAAGGCCTGAACGCCTGGCGCCGCCGACCCCGAAAAGGGGGACGGCGACGAAGACAGCGACGATGGAAGTGCACAGAAAGCTAAGGAATGGGAGGGATGAGGAGAGGGGGACGGAGGAGTTGAGGGGGAAGGGGAACGGAGGGAGAAGGGACGATAATTCGTCGTCGTCGTCGTCGTCGTCGTCGTCGTCGTTGTCGGAGGAGGAGGAGGAGGAGGAGGAGGAGGAGGAGGAGGAGGAGGAGAAGGGATGAGGAGCTGGATGGCGGAGGGGTCGCCATGGATTCGCCATCTACCAGGATGGGGTTGGTGCGTCGCCACCAAGACAAAGGGCAGCGCGGCAACCACTTTTTCGGTGCACAAGCCGTCGGGCTGCCGACAACGACGACGACGCTGACGTGGTCAGAGTCCTCAGGGATGCTTCTTGGGGTTTGGTCGAAACGCTCTTGGGGGCCTCGGGTGACAATGTAGCGGTCTCTTGGGAGCCTCATGGGGCCTGTCGGGAGCATCTTGGGGTCTCTTCGGGGTTTCTTGTGTGCATCGGGGATCCTCTTGAAGCCTCTTGGGGGCCTCTTGGGAGCCTCTTGGAGGCATCTTGGGCGTCTCTTAGGGCCGTCTGGCCGCCTCTTGGGGTCATCTTGGGGCGCTCTTGGGGGCCTTCGGAGCGCTCTTGGGCCCATCTTTGATGATATCGATCAAAGAAGATGGTTTCCCTACTTCCCCTCCTTTGGGAGCTCCAAGAAACGCCTCTTGGGGCGCTCTTGGAGCGCTCTTGGGCGCTCTTGGGGCCGTCTTGGGGCTCTCCTGGGTCTCTCATGGGCCCTCTTAGGCCATCTTGGAACCATCTTGACGCCTCGGATGGCCATCTAAAGCGAAAAGGCGGGACTGCAAACAACACTAATTTCCCTTAGGTGTTGGAAGGATTTTGGCCTTCTAGATGCCTCCTTGGAGGTCTCGGAGTCCTCTTGTAGCTGTCTTGGAGCGTTCTTGGGGCCCCTTGGAGCATATTCGGGGCCGATATGAGGCACCTTGGGCTATCTGGAGCCATTTTGGAGGTCATCGTGGGCTCTCTGAGGTCCTCTTGGAGCCATTTTGGCCGAAAACACCTTGCGGGGCGCCCCGTCCAGGTCCATGGGAGGGGTAGGGTGCAGGGGTAAGCCGCTCCCCGAAAGGAAAGAAGGGGGGGTGGAAAAGAAACCTCCCTAGACCTACGCTCAGAGGGCTGGTGGGATTCAACATACCTCTCGTCTGAATTATTGTGAGGCTTTCGCTTTGTGTATTTTTCGCGGCAGTTCTTGCGACGTGTTCGCTTTGCAAATCTTTCGCGGCAGTGCGTGCACGACGTAGGGCATTTATTTGGGCAAATGCAATTTTGATGGTGGTGCGTGTGAGCGGTGGCCTATGGACCCCGACCAGGATTCCTGACGAATATGCATCACGGGCTGCTCTTTCACAATCGGCTCCTTACTGCGCAGTCTTAACTACCGACGCTTTGATACGGGTTCCTTGTCAATGACCTTTTGAAGCGGGTGTTCCTTTACGGTGTCTTCAGTAAAGATCTTTCGCTCAAGGATTCCGTTCAAACGAATTCCGTAGTATGGATATTTGACTATTGCGTTCTTGGCTAAGGGTTCTTCAGTAGCGGTCTTAGGGTGATGAGCCTTGATTTGCGATATGCACGATTGATTTCTTCATGGCGCATTCTTTGCGGAGGAGGCATAATTAAGGATTCCTTCCCGCCGGTCCCTTTCCATATTGTTCTTACTACTGCGTCTTTCTAATTATTCTTTATTGGAGGACCTGCTTCCAAACGCATTCCTTGTTGGAGGCTTCTTTACTGATTGATTATTTGCCCAGGACTCCACACTATTGATTATGTTAGCCTGTCAGTCTGTCTAGCTTGTTGAAGCCACCACGTTCCTTCATTAGTTGCAGCGGTTCGCACTGCGAACCAGACAAGTCTTCACGCTTCGCGTATCCCCACCAGCCCATTCAGAAACCCTGCCCTTCAAAGCTGACGGGGAAAAACAGGTACGAATAGACACGTCTAGGGAAAACGCGAGCAAGGGGGTGGCCTTGGAAGGCCTCTTCGGGCCATCCCTTGGAGGAGCCGCGTGGGGGCGAGGGGGAGGAGGAGGATGAGGATGAGGATGAGGAGGAGGAGGAGGAGGAGGGGGAGAAGGAGGAGGAGGACGACGAGGAGGACGGGGAGGACAATGAGGACGAGGACGCGGATGAGGACGAGGACGAGGGGGACGAGGACTAGGATGAGGACGACGCGGACGAGGACTCATGGAACCATCCAGGAGGAGGAGGAGGAGGAGGAGGAGGAGGGGGAGGCGGAGGAGCTGGAGCCGGAGCCCGATGATGATGATGATGATGATGATGATGATGATGATGATGATGATGATGATGATGATGATGATGATGATGATGATGGTGATGATGCTGATGATGATGATGATGACGATGATGATGATG